CCCCATCTCTACTAAAAATAGAAAGAAATAAGCTGGACAACTAAAAATAGAAAATATTAGCTAGATGTGGTGCCACACATACCTGTAGTCTCAGCTACTTGGGAGGCTAAGGCAGGAAGATCGCTTGAGTCCAGGAGTTTGAGGTTGCTGTGAGCTAGGCTGAGGCCATGGCACTCTAGCCTGGGTGACAGACCAAGACTCCGTCTCAAAAAAAAAAAAAAAAAAAAAGATTTTGAAGGGAGAATATTCTAGATAGTGGGACTAGGTAGTGCAAAGATCCTAAAGCAAGAATGAAGGCCAGGCGTGGTGGCTCACGCCTGTAATCTAGGACACTGAGAGGCCGAGGCGGGTGGATTGCTCAAGGTCGGAAGTTCAAAAGCAGCCTGAGTGAGACTCCGTCTCTACTAAAAATAGAAAGAAATTAATTGACCAACTAAAAATATATATACAAAAAATTAGCTGGGCATGGTGACGCATGCCTATAGTCCCAGCTACTCAGGAGGCTGAGGCGGTAGGATCGCTTGAGCCCAGGAGATTGAGGTTGCTGCGAGCTAGGCTGATGCCACAGCACTCACTGTAGCCTGGGCAACAAAGTGAGACTCTGTCTCAGAAAAAAAAAAAAATGAGCTTGATGGGATCAAAATATATTAATAGAAAGAAACCAACATGTTTGGAGCATAGTGATTGAAGGAAAGAACAGTACAAGATAAAATTAGAGACACAAGGGACAGATGTTGAGTATGTAAGCCTATCTAAGGTATCTAGATTTTATTCTAAATGTGATAGGAAGAAAACCATAGAAAATTTTGAAAAGGGGAGTAATGATGTGATTGATTTACATTTATGCCAGCTACCATGCGAAAGTAGATTGTTGAGGGTATGGGCAAGAATGGCAATGAAGAGACTAGTTTAAAGATTAAAGCAGTAGTCCAGAGAAGAGGTGATAGTGGCCTAGACTATAGTAGTGGGTGTGACAGTGAGATGTGGTTGGATTCAGGATTAATTTTGGAAGGAACCATTTATTGAATACAGACCACCATTGTCAGAGTGAATTAAAAATAAAAAGCATAGATTTTGTACGTAAGGAATTTATAATCTAACACATTTGGCAATTACTTAAACCTCTCTATGATGTGTCTGTCTCCAAAACAACTGAAGTTTGTTCTTTCCAAATAAGTTTGCATTATTTTAGATCATATTGAATGTGCGTGCATGTGTGTCTGTGTGTATATGTGTGTGTTGCCAAGTGGAAAAGTAAAACTTGAGATTGATCTTGGAAGATTTCATGATGTTCATGAATTTTAAGCTAGGATCTTAAGGTGCACATAAACACATATTAGTTACACAAGAGTGGAAGGACTTTTGTTTTTTTCATTTTTATTGTGGTATAGTTGATAAATAGAAATTATAGGCCGAGCGAGGTGGCTCACGCCTGTAATCCTAGCACTCTGGGAGGCCGAGGTGGGAGGATCACTCAAGGTCAAGAGTTGGAAACCAGCCTCAGCAAGAGGAAGACCCTGTCTCTACTAAAAATAGAAAGAAATTAATTGGCCAACTAAAATAGCTGGAAATGGTGGCACATGCCTGTAGTCCCAGCTACTCGAGAGGCTGAGGCAGAAGGATTGCTTGAGCCCAGGAGTTTGAGGTTGCTGTGAGCTAGGCTGAGGCTATGGCACTCTAGCCAGGGCAACAGAGTGAGACACTGTCTCAAAAAAAAAAGAAAAGAAATTATATATATTCAAGGTATACAGCTTGATGTTTTATACATACACATTGTGAAATGATTACCACAATTGAGCTAGTTAACATATTCATCACCTCACAGAGTTACCTTTTTTAAAATGGTGAGAACACTTAAGATCTACCCTCTTAGCAAATTTCAAGTATACAATACAGTATTGTTAACTATAGTCTCCATGCTGTACATTTATCTTGCATAACTGAAACTTTTGTACTCTTTGACCAGTATCTTATCATTTCCCCCATCACCCAACTCCTGGAAAACACCATTCTGTTCTGTTCTGTGCTTCTATAAATTAGACTATTTTATTTTATTTTTTTGAGACAGAATCATGCTTTGTTGCCCAGGCTAGAGTGAATGCTGTGGCGTCAGCCTAGCTCACAGCAACCTCAAACTCCTGGGCTCAAGCAATCCTACTGCCTTGGCCTCCCGAGTAGCTGGGACTACAGGCATGTGCCACCATGCCCGGCTAATTTTTTCTATATCTATCAATTGGCCAATTAATTTCTTTCTATTTATAGTCAAGACGGGGTCTCACTCTTGCCCAGGCTGGTTTCGAACTCCTTATCTCGAGCAATCCGCCCGCCTCAGCCTCCCAGAGTGCTAGGATTACAGGCGTGAGCCACCGCGCCCGGCCTAGACTATTTTAGATTCCATATATATGTGAGATTATGTATGTAGTATTTGTCTTTCTGTGTCTGGTCTATTTTACTTAGCATAATGTCCTCAAGGGAGGACATTTCTAATAGGGTATGGGAGTAATAGCACTTACTTCTGGTGTTCTAATGCATAATCCCTTTGCACTGTGGGTAAAGAAAATGTTAGAATATCATGTTAGATATGTTAGTAGGTATACTTATACTACTGACCTTTCTGTTCTCAGATACTATCTGTTCTCCCTCATCATGAATTTGAGCCGTGATGCTTATGAGATTCGCCTACTGATGGAACAAGAGTCTTCAGCTTGTAGCCGGCGACTAAAGGGTTCTGGAGGAGGAGTTCCAGGAGGAATTGAAACTGGGGGACTTGGGGGACCAGGGACACCAGGAGGAGGCCTGCCCCAACTGGCTCTGAAGCTTCGGCTCAGAGTCCTGCTCCTGGCTCGAGTCCTTCGAGGTCATCCTCCACTTCTGCTGGATGTGGTCAGAAATGCCTGTGATCTCTTCATTCCCCTAGACAAACTGGGCCTCTGGCGCTGTGGCCCTGGGATTGTGGGGCTTTGTGGCCTCGTGTCCTCCATCCTGTCTATTCTCACCCTAATCTGCCCCTGGCTACGACTGAAGCCCTGACATTCTGGTACAGGAAAAGGAGGGGACCTGAATTGGGAAGATGGAATCTTGGATCGTCCCCCATGTGCCAGCTTCATTCTAATTCTACTCCTTGGTTAAAGCTAAAAGTCAGAGATTCAGGGATGGAGGAAGGAGCTTTGGGAAAGATGAGGTGAGGATAGGTGACTCGTGAAGTCAGTAAGATGATTCTAATATTCAGATATGCTGGAGCTTTTGTTCTTTTACTCTATCATTGTCTGTGGCTCTCTTGTCTTTTTACTTTGAGTCTCTTAAGTCCATTTAAGAGTCTGTGTCTATGCATCTCTCCTTTTTACCTTCTAAGTCCCCTATCTAGGAATTTAATCAGCAGAATAACTTTTTGGTGGGGGAGGTATAAGGTTTTGTCTGTAACATTCTAACTGCCTTCTTTTTTCTCACTGAGGTGGCTTATGGTAGAATTTTCCTTGTTCAAACTCCAAATCATAATTTTTAGACTTTATGTCCCATTGGACTCTTCCCTCATATCTCTGTACCACAGGTTGTTTGATGCTTCCTCTTCCTCCCTCCTACCCACCTCACTAACCTCCCCCTTGATTTGTCCTTACCCTTCCCTATACTCACACCTTCAGACTTCTGCTTATACTTTGACTTCAGAGCTTTGTTTTCTAGCCTGTTCTTACCCCTTCTTTGCCTACCCAGAATGATGCTGTGTCTAGCATCTTGCTGTAAATACTGTACATTGATTCTGTGTAAATAGCCATGGCTCATGCTGACAATGGAGAGCAAGCCTTCCAGATCAGCAAATTAAAGATCAGTTTGCTCATTGACATTTGGTCTGATCCCTCAATTTTTGATCATTTAAAGCCCCTATTCCTGTCACTGTGCTTTGGGTTTTCCATGGGATTGGCCACTAGCATCATTACCCACTGTTGTTGTTGTTGTTTTTTTTTTTGAGACGAAGTCTCACTCTTTTGCCTGGGATAGAGTGCCGTGGCATCAGCCTAGCTCACAGCAACCTGAAACTCTTGGGCTCAAGCGATCCTCCTGCCTCAGCCTCCTGAGTAGCTGGGACTACAGGCATGTACCACCATGCCCAGCTAATTTTTTCTATTTTTAGTTGTTTGGCTAATTTCTTTCTATTTATAGTAGAGACGGGGTCTCGCTGTTGCTCAGGCTGGTCTCGAACTCCTGAGCTCAAGTGATCCTCCAGGTTCAGCCCTCCAGAGTGCTAGGATTACAGGTGTGAGCCACTGCACCCGGCCCTTACCCACATATTTTTATTGAGTGCCTACAGAGTGCAGAGAAAAACACTAGGTAGTGGACATATAAAAAGCCAAGAAGCTCCACAGTGCCAACTTTAAGAAGTTTATCACCTCGTTGAAGAGTTGGGGTGTTGGAGTGGTCTAATGCTAAAGTAATTATCCGATACTAAAAAACACACATACCAGTTCACAGATACAGTCCCCCTAAAAACTATAATGCCTGATGGCAGCATAGGCTGAGAGTGATGAACAGAACTAAGTGGAGTGGGGCTGGTAAGGCTTGATCTCCATATGTTGGAAACACCCTTGGTGGGTGGGGAAATGATACCATTGCCATCAGTTCTTTCATTTTCCATATCCCAGGTTGAGATAAATGAGGTTAGAAAGTAAAAAGAATCTATCCCCCATTCCTACCTTCTATTTTAACTCTGAGGAAAGCAACAATAAAAGGTAGAAAAGAATGAAATGGCAGAAATAGTCAAAAAACGTGTTCTCGAATATTGAGATGAGACCTCCAGGGGGCAGCACCAAGGCAGGGAAATAGCCTAAGTCACTCAGTCCTCTCTTCCTTGGTCTGGGGCTCCCCACAGTTCTCCACCATCACTCCTCCCATTCCTTCCAACTTTATTTTTAGCTGCCAGTGGGAGGGGGCAGAATGGGAGGGAAAGTAAAGAAAACAGAAAAGGAAAGGGACAGACAGGCACAGAGGACTTCTCATACAGGACAGAGAACAACCAGGCATGGAGCACCACCTCATCCTTCACCTGTTCTTGCCTCTGATGTTCCTAACAGGTGAGAGAGGTTAACTTCTTGGTTTCTGGTGGGAATGGAAGATATATGTTTGGAATTGGGACTATTAGGGTTAAAATTATTTGGGAGTCAGGGTAGGAAGTTAACAGTAATTCTACATTTCACGTGTGTGTGTGTACACGTGTGCATTCTTATGCCCCTACATGACTGCCTCAATATTGAGACTGGCAGGGACTGAAGCTGCCTTGGACCTTGCTAAGATTTGTATTTAATTACATAAAACCTTTGTCCTAACCCCTGTAGGAGTGAGTAGATAGAAAAGAAACGTGATGTGGCCATCCACGTGGCTAGTCTGATTCCTATTATTTCCTTCCCTACTTCTCTGTACCCTTGGTGGTCCCTGGGCCTGAGGCATAACTGACTGTGTGGTCAGAACTCTGGGTTTATCTTAACCAATGAAATTACAGTTCCTTGTCATACATCCCAGTCAATTTTCTGGATGCAAAAAGGCTCACATATAAGATACTTTCTGAAAATGAGCATGGTTTGGGGCAGCACTATAGCCATTGGTAGTGGTGGTTGGAGGGAAGCCTGAGAGGAGTTGCTTGGAAGTAAGGAGTAAGAAACAGTTGGGGAAAGAACCATGGGAGGGACAACAGGCCTGGAATTTTTCCTTGCCAGTGCTCTGTAATCTTTGTTTCCTAAAATACCAGCTCTGATTTTAAAGAGATTGGAGTTGGAAGGGAAGAATCATCCAGGGCATGATTGGGGGGTCTTTAGAGTGGCCCCAAGGTTGAGGAAAGCATGGAGGTAAGCAGGGGGCAGTTAGGAGGGTAGATGAGTTAAAAAGGAAGCAAGTTGTGGGAAACTGTGGAGTGATGGGACCCTTGGCAGGGATGGATGGCAAACTGTGTGTGTGGGCAGGAGGGTGGCCCCACCCAGTTAATTACCACTGAGGTTTCCAGGACTAGAATCAACCAGGGACCTAGACATTGGAGAAAGACTGAGAGTGTAAAAATGACACTGGGAGTCAAGAAGAGATAGAGAAAGAGAGGTCCAGTGTTCCTTAGCTTCATTTCCTTGCCCCTGTGATCCTGGGTCTTGGGGGGAATTTGGAAGGAATGCTTGTTCTGGGGCTGCAGAAAGGCCTTCTCTTTCTTTTTGCCATCACAGTTTGGGGAGGAGAATGTGTAGGAGGAATGATGTAGAAAAGAGTAACTTGACCTTTCTAGACATGTCTGTGAATGGGATTTCAGGGTTGGGAGTGGAAATACAGCTGTACGTCAGCCTGGCAAAGGGCCGCAGGTTAGACATCTGCACACAAACAGGAAGGGAATCATCCTTACTCAGGGCTCAGAGTACATGACATTGACAGAGGCCAGGAGAGCTTATGAGTGAAAAAGCAGGCAGGTAGACTGAGATAAAGACGTTCCCTCATGCTTCTCTCTGGCTATGCCTCTTTAGACATTCATTAACTCTGACCACTTTGTGCTAACCTTATGATCCTGGCCCACAGGTCTCTGCTCTCCCTTTAACCTGGACGTGCATCACCCACGCCTATTCCCAGGGCCACCAGAGGCTGAATTTGGATACAGTGTCTTACAACACATTGGGGGTGGACAGCGATGGTGAGGAGGAACCAGAGGACCATGGGGTTGGGACTGTGAAAGTGCTGATAAAGGAAAGGCAAGATATGTGGGTCTGTAAACAAATCCGGACTTTTGAAGGTGGCTGAGGCTCTAAACTTGCCACCTCTGTGCCCTTTCCCTCTGGCCTATGTCAAGGGTCATGTTCACCCAATGCTTATATTCACATCCTCCCCCCAGGATGCTGGTGGGCGCTCCCTGGGATGGGCCTTCAGGTGACCGGAGGGGGGATGTTTATCGCTGCCCTGTAGGGGAGCCCCACAATGCTCCATGTGCCAAGGGCCACTTGGGTAAGAAGATGCATGACCCTTCCCCTCCTAACCCCTGACCTCGATAGCATAGTAGCCTTGACCCCCTATACCTCTGCTTCTTCACCCCCATAACCCATATACTCCATGTCCCCAGTTTGATATTGATCCCTTCTCATTCTCTTCCAAAATCACCCTGAACTCAAACAGCCTGTCTGTGACCCCATTATCTCATTCTCTTCCATCCCCCTCCAACCAGGTGACTATCAACTGGGAAATTCATCTCATCCTGCCGTGAATATGCACCTGGGGATGTCTCTGTTAGAGACCGATGATGATGGGGGATTCATGGTGAGCTAAGGAAAGGGTGGTGGCAGGGCCTCCTAAGGCCTGTGTGGCAGAAAAAAAGAGTAGCATGGTAAGGGAAACTGGTTTATATGGAGAGATCAAGGTGTTCAAAACCCTAGAAAGCAAGGTAAGGAACCCTAGAAAGCAAGGTAGGGAATCCTAGGGAGTGGTCTTAATGCCTCCTTCAACTAGGAGCATGTTCTGAGGGTGCCTTCTGAAGCCTGGAAGTAACTGTTTCCCCTACTCATTCCCAGGCCTGTGCCCCTCTCTGGTCTCGTGCTTGCGGCAGCTCTGTCTTCAGTTCTGGGATATGTGCCCGTGTGGATGCTTCATTCCGGCCCCAGGGAAGCCTAGCACCCACTGCCCAACGTGAGCCAGAGGAAGGGCCTGAGGACTTAATTCCCAGAAGGGGGTGCTGGGTGGAAAAAGTTGGGACAAAGCATATGATGCCTGGTAGAGGGCCTGTGTTGTGGCTATCCTTGTTGCTACCTAACGTGCCTGCAAAAGCCCCATGTCTCCTAACAGATTAGAATTCAGACTCCTTACCAGGGCATCAAGACTCCATGATCTGATCTAACCAACCTCAAAAACTCAACTCATCCCTCTACACACCCTGTCCTTGGCCATAGTAGTCACCTCACCATTCTCCTATGAGTCATCTATTTTCATATTTCCATGTATTTATTTTATATATTCTATACCCATATGCCTTTTCTCATATTTTCTTCTCCTCAAATATCTGTAGTGCTCAGTATCTCATTAGTTGCTGCCTCCTTTAATTCCCCACCATCAGAACCAATATTCTTTTGTTCTCCCACAGCAGAGTGTTGTTTTCTCCCTAGCACTTTATTCCTTCTTTGTTTTTCAGTAATTGTATATATGCCTGTCTCCTCTTTGATTCATTTCCATACTCACCCAGAGCCTGGCACAGTGCCTTCCTTGCATGTCAGAAGTGCCTAATGAATGTTTGTATTGAATGAGCCCTCCCGTGACCTCTTTCCCTTGTTGCCACCAGGCCAGTATCCTTCTACCTCCTTATTCCCCATCACCATATCCCTCCTCCTAGGCTGTCCTACGTACATGGATGTTGTCATTGTTTTGGATGGCTCCAACAGCATCTACCCCTGGTCTGAAGTTCAGACTTTCCTACGAAGACTGGTAGGGAGACTATTTATTGACCCGGAGCAGATACAGGTAAGAGAAGGCAATCTGGAGGGGCCTGGTGGGGGAGAGACAGGGAAGGAGGAGATAAATGTCGATGGCATCTTCGGTAGTATTCAGTGTCCATCTCCCCTCTCCCACACACTTTCTTCTTTCTCATGTCGCCCATCCCACATACACACATTCCATTTGAGTGCACACTTTATTCCCAGGTGGGACTGGTACAGTATGGGGAGAGCCCTGTACATGAGTGGTCCCTGGGAGATTTCCGAACCAAGGAAGAAGTGGTGAGAGCAGCAAGGAACCTCAGTCGGAGGGAGGGACGAGAAACAAAGACGGCGGAAGCAATAATGATGGCCTGGTGAGGCATTGTGAAGGGGAGTGTGGAGGCCAGAGTGATGAAAGCTTAGAAGGGCTAGGGGAGGGTTTGGAGTGCAGTGTGTGCATCCCAAGATGTCTTTTTTTTTTTTTTTTATATTGAGTCCTTGACACTGACCAAGATGTCTTGCATGTTTATCTTTGTATGTACACTAATAGCATGTGGAGGAAAGCAAAGTTGGCTGTCATTGCACTCCCTCTAATTGCATTTCTACACTTTCTATATCTGTGTCTCTCCATGTTTCTGCTTTGTTTATCTTCACAGACAGAACTCTCCCTCTCTCCATCCATTCACTCCAATTTTAATCCTGGCTCTTGGGTTCTCCAACACTCATGTCCTAGCCCATCATTCAAAGCCCATCTCTGAGAAGACTCCCCTGACCTGACCATTCTCCTCTGTTCTATGTTTTCTTAATATTTACGCTCGCAATGCAATATTTGTTGAATGAATCTATGAATGAATGAATTTTGTACTCATTTGTATTGATGATCTGCTACTCTGTATGTTCTATGACATTCAAACATTTGAGTTCTTACTCTGTGCCAGTCTTCATATTAGGCACTTGGAAATGACCTAAAAGGCAAGATGCCTGACCTTGGTGAATTGCTGATTACATTAAATTTTCTCTGTGTGTGTGTGTGTGTGTCCGTGTGTGTATCCACATACAACTGATCACACCTCACTTCTTTCTCTCTCAGCACAGAAGGATTCAGTCAGTCCCGTGGGGGCCGACCTGAGGCTGCCAGGCTACTGGTAGTTGTCACTGATGGAGAATCACATGATGGAGAGGAGCTTCCTGCAGCACTAAAGGCCTGTGAGGCTGGAAGAGTGACGCGCTATGGGATTGCTGTAAGAATCTACTCTGGGTCTGGAAGGATGGTGGGGGGTGGTGACTTGTGAACTGCCCAAGAACTGAGAACTTGAGGAAAACGGGCATTAACAACTTCCCAGACTTTAGCCACTTCACTTTAATTGACTGTGTTCTGTACCAGCTCTAACACAGCTAACAGACTCCATCTGGATCTCCTGACCTCAGGTCCTTGGTCACTACCTTCGGCGGCAGCGAGATCCCACTTCTTTCCTACGGGAAATTAGAGCTATTGCCAGTGATCCAGATGAGCGATTCTTCTTCAATGTCACAGATGAGGCTGCACTGACTGACATTGTAGACGCACTAGGAGACCGGATTTTTGGCCTTGAGGGTAATGATTACCTTGGAGAAGTGGAGGACAGGGTGTGGGGAGTTCTGGAGTGTGGGTGGGGTTCTGGAGTGAGTTTAGTAGGTCAAAGGTGGAACTGTCTTCCTCTGATATTGCCTTGATATATTCTCATACCTAAGGGTCCCATGGAGAAAATGAAAGCTCCTTTGGGCTGGAAATGTCTCAGATTGGTTTCTCCACTCATCGGCTAAAGGTTGGACAGACTCTGATCCCCTCTATGACACTTCCCAACCTCTGACCTCTTCATGACTCCTTCCAACCTCTGACTCAGACATCTTCAACCCCAGGGCCCTTCTAGATTCTTCCTTTAACTAACCTCCATGCTGACTTTCCCACACCTTTCCAACTGACCCCAACATACCCTCAGTGATCCTCTTTCTCCTGGAGAGTTTTTTCTCCTTGTTTCCTACTGTCTTCTCAGGGATCTCATCTGGTTCTGCCCCACAGGATGGGATTCTCTTTGGGATGGTAGGGGCCTATGACTGGGGGGGCTCAGTGCTATGGCTTGAAGAAGGCCACCGCCTTTTCCCCCCACGAACGGCCCTGGAAGATGAGTTTCCCCCTGCATTGCAGAACCATGCAGCCTACCTAGGTGAGTAGCAGAAAGTTGCAGAGGACTTGGGGAGCAGGGGGAGGAAATGCTTCCCTAGTGGGGGTTATGAGGGACTTCCTCTTAACTCATGCAGTTTCTCACTAATCTCTTGCTATTTCCCTTGAAACTGCCTCCTGTGCTTTTAGGGAACCCACCTACTCTGACTCTATCTTCTTTCTCGTTTACCTCTGATGCCTTGCACACTTCTAGGTTATTCTGTTTCCTCTATGCTTTTGCGGGGTGGACGCCGCCTCTTTCTCTCAGGAGCTCCTCGGTTTAGACATCGAGGAAAAGTCATCGCCTTCCAGCTTAAGAAAGATGGGGCTGTGAGGGTCGCCCAGAGCCTCCAGGGGGAGCAGGTAGGGCATCCAAGGGAGGGTGGGACTCTTGAATCCCCAGGGACCTCCAGGCTGTGGGGGAAGAGTAAGAAGGGGCAAGAGAGAGGCCTGAAAAGTCTGTGCTGAATTCTGGTTGGCAGAGTCTGTCAGGGATATAAGGACCAGACTGGCAGGCTGGTGAGTGCTTCCCACTGAGTCCACTTGTCCACAATCACCTTCCCTTTTCTCTGGGGTCACCACCACCCACCACTCCCCAGATTGGCTCATACTTTGGTAGTGAGCTCTGCCCACTGGATACGGATAGGGATGGAACAACTGATGTCTTACTTGTGGCTGCCCCCATGTTCCTGGGACCCCAGAACAAGGAGACAGGACGTGTTTATGTGTATCTGGTGGGCCAGGTGAGACTTGCTGGGAACCCCTGGGATTTGTGTGGGGGGGATTGAGGGAGGAAAGAAGGAAATGCATTTGAGGGCTTCCAAATTAGCACCTTCTGTCTTCTCCTCACCATCCACCAGCAGTCCTTGCTGATGCTTCAAGGAACACTTCAGCCAGAACCCCCCCAGGATGCTCGGTTTGGCTTTGCCATGGGTGCTCTTCCTGATCTGAACCAAGATGGCTTTGCTGATGTGGCTGTGGGGGCACCCCTGGAAGATGGGCACCAGGGAGCGCTGTACCTGTATCATGGAACCCAGAGTGGGGTCAGGCCCCATCCTGCCCAGGTCAGGAGTGCCCAAATAAAGCAGGGTCATGGTGAATGGAAGGAGAGGGGAGATGTGCCCTTCAATAGTCCCCTTGGCTTGAAATCTGAACTGTGAACAAGCGCCTTTATCAATAGGCAAAAAAAGTAAGGCAGTCGGGGTAGGATAAAGGTTGCCAAACTAGGAAATCCTGAACACAGGCAAGTTTCTCTTCTTCCCATGCGTGATCGGAAGATTAGGAAGAGCCAGGCAGAAGGCCTGAGAAACCAGGTGTATGAGTCCCTGCCTCAGTCTTCTCTCTGTTCCTCTTAGCGGATTGCTGCTGTCTCCATGCCACAGGCCCTCAGCTACTTTGGCCGAAGTGTGGATGGCCGGCTAGACCTGGATGGAGATGATCTGGTAGATGTGGCTGTGGGTGCCCACGGGGCAGCCATCCTGCTCAGGTGAGGGATCCCAGCTCAGGTAGCAGTGGACAGCGCAGCATAGCTGTCAAGAGCAAGGGCCTTAATGTCATAGACTTAGATTGGGTTTCTTGGTCAACTTACTCTGTGCCTCCATTCCTAGTTTATAAAATGGCAATCATAATAGTACCTACCTTATAGGTTTATTGTGAGGATTAAATGAGATAATCCATGTAAAGATTTTAACACAGTGCCTAGCATATGATATGGTAAGTACACACTGAATTGAATCTATTCTCTTCTGTCAGAGAGTTCAGGGGAGGGTGACACGTGTGAATGCAGCCTCTCGTTTGTTTGACTAGAGGGAGGCAAACACTGGGGTTGCACTTCTTGAAGGGCTCACCTCCTACTGCTAGAATTTCTTTCCCACCCTGTGCCCAGCTCCCGGCCCATTGTCCACCTGACCCCATCACTGGATGTGACCCCACCAGCCATCAGCGTGGTTCAGAGGGACTGTAGGCGGCGAGGCCAGGAGGCAGTCTGCCTGACTGCAGCCCTTTGCTTCCAAGTGACTTCCCGCACTCCTGGTCGCTGGGATCGTCGATTCTGTGAGTGACTGGAGTGCAGCCTCGGCAACCCTCAACCCCTTGCCTGCCTTGGTCTCTGGACTCCTCTTCACCTTCACTCTTGCCTCCCCCATTCAGACATTCGGTTCACAGCATCACTGGATGAGTGGACAGCTGGGGCACGTGCAGCATTTGATGGCTCTGGACAGAGGCTGTCCCCTCGGCGGCTCCGCCTCAGTGTGGGGAATGTCACTTGTGAGCAGCTGCGCTTCCATGTGCTGGTGAGAAGGGGGCAGGAACTGCTTTGCATCAGGGCCTGAGAGTGAGAAGTCTGGGTCAGAGGAGGAATTTCAGCTGGATCGGCAAGAAAGCCAAAGCCAGGAAAGTGCAATGATTCAGACTTTGCAGTCAGGCTGATCTGGGTTTAAAGCCTAGCTCTGCCATTTACCACCTGTGAACTCTAGCAAGTCACTTTACCTCCACACCTCAGTTTCCTTGTCTGCAAAGGGGTAACAATAACAACTATATCATAGGAGTTGTATTAGAATTGAGTTTAAAAGTATTGATAAAACCTTAGGACAGTGCCCAGCACACAGAAAGTATTCCATAAATGATCACTACAATTATTACATTCTGCCAGGGGCCTGGGTTGTACCCTTAACCCTGGCTCCTCATGATCCTCGACTCTGGTTTCCCTCAGGATACATCAGATTACCTCCGGCCAGTGGTCTTGACTGTGACCTTCGCCTTGGACAATACCACAAAGCCAGGGCCTGTCCTGGAAGAGGGCTCACCCACCTCTATACGAAAGCTGGTCAGCAGTGCCAAGCTCTGTCCTGCCCCTGGGTCCCAAAACTGTCCTCCTCCCCCACCCTCCACTCCCAGTGAATTCAAGAGAAAAGGGAAGAGGGAGACATGAGATCACAGTGAAATCTGACCTGGGCCCCTCTAATCAAAATATACCCACTCTTCTCTTTTCACTTTGCCCCAATTCCATTCTTTTGTCTGTGTCCTCCTCTCTCAGCCCTCAGCCTCTGCTTTTTCTTCCAGGTTCCCTTCTCCAAGGATTGTGGCCCTGACAATGAATGCATCACAGACCTGGTGCTTCAAGCTAATATGGACATTAGAGGCTCCAGGTTGGATGCATGCACTGGGCACACCAGGGTGACCTGGGAAAAACTCAAAGGGACTTGAAGGGAGCCAGCGGTTGTTTCTTACCCATGATAACAAAAGTGAGACTTTTGGTATGCTTTCAACTCCTGGTCTCTCCTTTATTCACCACTCCCAGGAAGGCCCCATTTGTGGTTCAAGGTGGCCGACGGAAAGTGCTGGTATCTGCAATTCTGGAGAACAGAAAGGAAAATGCCTACAACACTAGCCTGAGTCTCAGCTTCTCTAGAAACCTCCACCTGGCCAGTCTCACTGCTCAGGTGCCCTTGGAGGAGGGGATGTGGGAGGAGGAAAGAAAGGAGGAAGGAGAAGATTGGGGTATTGGCCTCATCTGTGAGGTGCTCTGAAGAAAGGCTCAGTATTTAGAGACTGTAGGTAGGATAGCAGTGGCACCTCCAGCTTCTACCCCCATTCCTCTCCCCTCAGAGGGACAGCCCAGTAAAGGTGGAATGCACAGCCCCTTCTGTTCATGCCCGGCTCTGCAGTGTGGGTCATCCTGTATTCCAGACTGAAGCCAAGGTTTGTTGGGATCCAGGGTGAAAAGGGGGCTCTGGGAGAGGAGGGGCTGAGATCTAAGGGTCCTGGGAGCTCAGGGAAGGGGTACAAGGGCTTCTGTTCTTCTGTAGTTGTTCCATGGGAAAGAATCTACCACTGCCCCATGTCCCCTGCTCCCAGGTGACCTTTCTGCTAGAGTTTGAGTTTAGCTGCTCCTCCCTGCTGAGCCAGGTCTTTGTAAAGCTGACTGCTACCAGGTAAGAACAAAGGGAATGTCCTCCCAGACTTCTCCTATTGGATCTTGACTGAAGGGGTGGGGAGGAACAGCATTGACTCCTTTTTTAGCAGAGAGGGGTGTCTGAGGAGCAGTTGGATGTGAGCTTCTCCCCCCTGACTCTACAGCAATAGCCTGGAGAGAAATGAGACCCTTCAAGATAACATAGCCCAGACCTCAGCCTACATCCAATATGAGCCTCATCTCCTGTTCTCTAGGTATGGCCTAGCTCCTAGCTGGGACCCAGTTCTGACCCCAGACTCATACCATTTATGTTTCTTCCCTTTCCTTCCATGTGTTTCAGAGTTTCTAGAAACCCAAACCCTTGGGGATGCTTAATCTTTTTTCCCTCAATCCCATTCACGCTGAGCCTTCTCTTTTAAGCATCTTACTCTCTTAGGTATACGATTTTGCTGGGCCCTGGGCATTGGAGCTGGGATGAGGGGTTATGGGATGTGGCCATAAAATTTGTATCAAGTCTATGTCATGTTCCATTTCTGTCTTCTCTATGTACCCCCTTCTCTTTGTCCATGTGCTGGTCCTGCCTTCCCTGTATCCATGTCTGTGTGCTGTGTCTGTCATGGCTGTGACCATGTATTTCCTGACTTGGTGTTCACACAGTGAGTCCACCCTGCACCGCTACGAGGTTCACCCATATGGGACCCTCCCAGTGGGCCCTGAATTCAAAACCACTGTTAGGGTGAGAAGCTGGAGGGGTCTTGGCATGAGGAGGGCGGGAGCAACAGTGGTGCGGGAAACGGATGGGAAGAGTCTCTCTTGAATTTCAATGGTATCTAGGGTGAAGGGGAACGGATGAGGATGGGTCATCTTCTGTCTCCTACCTCTTCCCATTTTCAATCTTCCTCTCAGGTTCAGAACCTTGGATGCTATATGGTCAGTGGCCTCACCATCTCAGCCCTCCTTCCAGCTGTGGCCCATGGGGGCAATTACTTCCTATCACTGTCTCAAGTCATCACTAACAATGTGAGTCTGCCCTATGAGTGTATGGAATCCTGCCACCTTGAGCTGGTGGACTCACTGAAGCTGGACACCACACCAGCTCCCTATCTGTTGGGCCACTGCTCTCAGGGCTCCTCCCTCTGGAGGATCTTTCTTTTACATATGTGCCTTCTTTGGGAGGAAAGAAAGGGATTATAAAGGGAAGAACTACAAGAGTGTGGGTAGTATGTCCCTACTCAGCCTGGAGTGGCTGGCCTCACCCCATTAGGAGGGTCTTTCAAGTTGGATCTTCCTCTAGGCAAGCTGCACAGTGCAGAACCTGACTGCTCCCCCAGGGCCCCCTGTGCATCCAGAGGAACTTCAGCACACACACAGACTGGTATGAGTAACAAGAGGGTGTCTGGAATGGGAATGCAAGTAGATCAGGTGCCTCGGGACAGGGGGGTGGGAGCTGGAGGGAGGAAGAGGGGATCTTTCCAGCCCAAGGCCTTGACCTGTCTGTCTCTTCTGGTAGAATGGGAGCAATACTCGGTGTCAGGTGGTGAGGTGCCACCTTGGGCAGCTGGCAAAGGGGACCGAGGTTTCTGTTGGATTACTGAGGCTGGTTCACAATGAATTTTTCCGGAGGGTAAAGCTTTCTTTTTCTACTATTCTCCTCTTCTATTCCTATCTGGAATTTTAACATAGGTTTTGAAGGTAGACAGACCCATGTTCAAGTTTTGCTTTTGCATCTTATTAGCTTTGATGGTAAGCAGGTTACTTCATCTCTCTAAGCTTCTTTTTCCTGATCTCTAAAATATGGAAGATAATACCTACTTCATGGGCTTGTTGTACAGAATAAATGAATAATGAACTGGTTATATGGTGAATACTCAATAAAAGCTAGTTATTATCCTTGTATTTTCCTCCATTTACCGTTCCTTAGTGTTATATCAATGATCGATCAACATTTACAGGATACCTAAGTTTAATCAGTTAATAATCAACTGCCTATTATATAAAAGGTCCGTGTTAGGTTGATACTGAGGAGAATATCCCCAACATTTAGCCCTATGCCTAACTCATTGTAAGTGCTTAATACTTTTTTATTAAATGAATGAATAAATAATTGATATTACATGCAGGATTTGTATTAGGGAGTAGTGGGAAATGAGATTATAGGTTGAGAGGGATCTAGATTATCAGAGGTCTCTGAAGCTAGGGAAATAAAATTGAAATTAATATGATAGGCAGTCAGGAGTCAGTGTGAGTTCCTGAGCAGGGAAATGACATCTTAATTATTATTACAGCTAGTTAGCACTAGGGGTTTATATTGTGCTTTCCCATATATTATCTACTTTGAATAACACAAGATCCCTGGGATGTAGGCTTTGCTAGAATGTCTGGGTTAAAGGGTGCATGTAAAAAAATAACTCTTCTCCCCATACAGAGCCTCCTGGAGGTGATTCAGACCCGCCCTACCCTTATCTCCCTGTGGATCCTCATTGGCAGTGTCCTTGGAGGGTTACTCCTGCTTGCCCTCCTTGTCTTCTGCCTGTGGAAGGTAAGCACTGCTTTAGTTGGGAGTAGGGAGCATGGTCCTCACAAATTGAAGGATTATAGCAGGGGAACAGGATTTGTGCTGGGCAGCTAAGCAGGCTGTGTGTGTCACATCCATATCTTCTTCACTGTAATCCATAAATGTTGGTTGAATTAAACTAAGCCAAATAAAATAAATTTGAATCTCATTTTTGGAAGGAGAACAAAAGTAAAGACCTCAGATAAGTCTGAGGGCTATTGGCAAGGTCCCAAGTCAAGGCATTTGGCGATGACTCTTATCTCTTCCTCTACAGCTTGGCTTCTTTGCCCGTAAGAAAATCCCTGAGGAAGAAAAAAGAGAAGAGAAGTTGGAGCAATGAATATAGAATAAGACTCTAGAAAGGCCTCCTGGCAGCTTCTTCAAGAGACTTGCATAAGAGCAGAGATTTGGGGGCTCGTATGGGACAAGAAGAAGCCTCTGGACTATCTCCCCAGACAAGCTGCCTGACTTGACTTTCAAGTCACAGAGACGCTGCTGGCAAGAGATGAGGCTTTACCTCAGACAAGAAGGGCTGGCACCAAAACCAGCTGTGCTCCCACCCCGTGCTCCCCTCCTCCTTATGATCCTGGTTCCACAGCCAACATTGGGGCCTTTGTTTGGGGCCCATTTCTCCCCATCCCCAGGAATTAAGAATTTTTTTTTTTTTTTTTTTGCCTAGGCCCCTGATTCCTTTCAGATTCCCTTTGTCCTCCTTCACAGTTTGGAAAGGATAAGGATTATCTTCCTCCATTCTCCCACCCTCTCACCTTCCTGCCTGCGCCCCACTCCACAGGAGGGAGCTGAGGTTGGCTTGAAAGAAGTAAAGTCAACATCTGCTGCTTTCCTGTGGAGTCTGGTGATTCATAGAGCAGGATGGGGAGAGTCAACAGGAAAAAAGGAGGGAGGAGGAAAAGCCACAAGAGACATTTTGTACAATTCCAAGGAACAGAGAAGCCTTTAGACAGGCAACTGCCATCCCCCCCTGAAACCTGAGATTTTGTGGTGCACTCGGCCGCCCTCAGGTGCCGGTGAAACGGAGCTGCCCCCAGGCTTGCTGGCTGGCCACTGGCTTCCCAACTCTGAGCCTTCCCTGGGAGCAAAGCCAGGGCCTCGTGCCCGATTTTCTGGAGCCAGGGGCCCCCAGGTGGCTAGAACTGGGATAGCAGGGAAGACTGGGTGCCCTAGATAGTGTTTTTTCTACTTCTCTCAGGCCTTATTCACTCTGAGCCTTCCTTGGGGCCTCCTTATAGAAAGCACAAAGAAGAGAGAGGATTGCTGCTTGATGATGGGATACCCTTCCACCTTACTGGTTTGGGGAAGCAGCAGCCCCATGGATCTGACCGAGTGGGGTCTGCATGAAGATGCCAAAGCAGTTGGCATGAGGTCTCTGGGGAGCAAGGCCTTACTTGCTCAGCACTGGTTGTGTAGCACAAATAGCTTTTAGGAAAATTGTTTCTGGGGCAACCCTAGTAATATTTTGTAGGGGTTCTCTGGTGGAATTAGTTTGCCAGCCCTTGCTTGATGTTTACTGGAAATCCCCAAGTTAATTTCTGTCTCTGACCCCTACCTTTCCCTGCCTTCATGTTTTGGTCATGGTCAGTAAAGGCAATTGGAATCTCATAAATAACTGGGTAACTGATCATTTTTTGTAATCAAGATTTTGGATATTGAAGTCAGTTATTGGTCTCCAGAGTATAGCTCTGATAGCCATTTGAAGAATCAGCACCCATTTTGAGCTGAGAAGTGAGAAGATGTGATCAGGTAGTTGACTAGCACCCACAGAACCTGTCCTTCCAGGCTGCTCCTGAGGCCTGACCACAATGTTTATTTTGGCATGTCTCTGGCCTTCTGCAGAGGGCCACCCTCATGGGCTTTGTCTCTATTTCTTAGTAGGGTGGACAGTATATCAGATGGTTAGAACAAATAAAGTTCAGTGTCAAATGACTTCTGGCTCTATTTGAGTTCCCTAGGATATAGGCTGCTTAGTAATGGTGAGAGGTAGATTCTTTTTTTTTTTTAGGACAAGGTTCACTCTGTCGCCTGGGATAGAGTGCCATGCACTAGCTCACAGCAACCTCCAACTCTGGGCTCAAGCAATCCTCCTGCCTCAGCCTCCCAAGTAGCTGGGATACAGGCACGCGCCACATGCCCAGCTAATTTTTTCTATATTTTTAGTTGGCCAATTATTCTTTCTATTTTTTTTGTAGAGGATGGGTCTTACTCAGGGCTGGTTTCAAACTCCTGCCTTGAGTGATCCATCCACCTCGGCTTCTAGAGTGCTAGGATTACAGGCATGAGCCACCACCTGGGTGAGAGGTAGATTCTGATGACCTATCTCCCAGACCCTGAACATTTGTTTCTTCTACATTGCTATTGTCTCCCTCCACTAAATCTTGTCCTTGCCTCATTCATTTGGAAGCAACTTGAGGTCATAATGGCTGATTAATTAAGATTCTAATTGTGGAATCAAATCTATTTTATTTCTTTAGATACCCAGGTATCCTTCTGGGCTCCTCTTGAGACAATGAGTTCTTCAGCATCCCCAAGGAACATGTGCACTTAAGCAGTGGCCTTCTAGAGACCAAGTCTCTGCCTCTATTGCCTAACCCTGAGACTTGTGGCCTGTCTGGCCTATTAGGCAGGGACACCATTCTCTGTCAATCCAGTGAGTCGTTTTGTGCCAGGAAAGGGTCCATGTGACCCTCAGTGCCACTTCATGTAGGCTATAACTTGATCAGTCTTTATGGGAGCATACTGTTTTATAGCTGAGACTGAGGCCATACTTATGTTGACAGACTTCCCTCACTTTTTTACTTCAGCCAGCCCCCAAATGGAGGTGGATTTCTTTGACAGCTGGTTTATCTAATTCTTTTTTTTTTTTTTTTGGAGACAGGAGTCTGCTTGCTCCAGGCTAGAGTGAGTGTCGTGGTTCAGCTAAGTCTCAGCAACCTCAAACTCCCTGGGCTCAAGCAATCTGCTGCTCAGCCTCCGAGTAGCGGATACAGGCATGCGCCACATGGCCCAGCTAAGTTTTTTGTCTATTATATATTAGTTGCCATTAAATTTCTTCTTATTTATAGTAGAGACGGGTCTTTGCTCTTGTCAGGCTGGTTCTTTAATCCTGATCTTGACGCATCGCTGCCTCAGCCTCCAGAGTTGCTAGGCATTACACGGTGTGACGCCCTGTGCCGGCTCGATTCCTTTATCTATCATATGTAAAAGGCACTTCAAAAAAAAAAAAAAAAAACCTGTGCTCACCAAATAGTATGAGCAAGACAAAATCGCAAATAATTATATCTTTAACCATAATTTACAATTAAAGGGGAACACACTTATTCTCAAACATCTGTAAGTCACAGGTGTAAGTCCTCAAGACTAGTTTACATGTCTGATTTGTTTTTCATTCATCGCAGTTTACATACTGTGCGGTCGCATTGACATTCAATAATTGCTGGGTGATCAACTAATAAGAGACCAGTGAAGATTTCGGTCAAATCCTAATTGAAAGGAGTTGAGAACTTGAATCTACCGTGCCAAAATAATTGATAATCACTCTTGGGGAGGGGACATTCTGTCAGTTATCTAATATTTTTTTTTTTTGTCTCGCTCTGCTGCTCCGGGGTAGGTGCAGTGTGTCTCATAGGCTCACTGCACCTCAATCCTGGGCTCAGAATGTTGCTCGCTCTGAGTTTGCTGGGACTACAGGGCCACACCACAATACATACCCAGCTAACTTTTTTTCTTTTTTCTTTTTTTTTTTTTTTTAGGGGCAACACGTGGCTTTACTTATACAACTCCGTGACGAGGTTCTGGGCCCCAGAGCGGCCCCGGGAAGTCGCCACAGCTACTTTTTTCTCCTATTTTGTAGAGCAGTGTCTCGCCTGTTGTCACGCTTATCTCAATCCTGGGCTCAACGATCTCCTGCTTGGCCTTGCAAGTGCTAGAATTACAGGTGGTGGTCCTTGTCCCAGACCAGTTATCTAATTTTGGGGTTGTGGGACAGTCACATCATGGTTTTCCAAGGTGAACACAAAGGGAGTGATGTGTCGGAGGAAACTTTTTGATTGATTTATAGAATTATATCATGCAGCACAGCAACATTTGTGATAACGGGTTCTTACTCCTCAACGTTTATTTTAATTTTTTAAAATTTATTTGTATAATTTAAGGTACTAGTGCAATTGTTCT